AACACTAAGCACTCAGATTATAAAAAGGAGATTTTTTCATCTTACCTCTCAGACACTGAAAGGCAGAAAATACATATTCCCAATTCTTAAGAACCTAAGTCTTTAAAATAAAAGATTTTTTTCATCAATAGAAATATTTTTCTATCAAATGAATTTTCAAAGGTTAAGAAATAAAGAAAATCTACTTTTCTAGAACTGGAATTTAGAATTCTAAAAGATCATGAAGTCAAATGCCTTGGTGTGAACATTAAAAAAAAACACACATCTTGAAATAGGAGCAATTAATCAATATATATCCAATTTCCATCTAGACATATCTGCTTAACCACCCTTTTTACTTTGGCAAGAGTGGAAAAGTCTCAAGCTTCTCTAAGTTTATTTTATTGGGTACGAGTATTAAAAGTTACTGCAATTTCTACTAGAGAAGAAAAAAAAAAAACTAAAAACCCAGGGTTCGCTTTGAACAGGCTGCTTAAAATATTTTCATATGAAAATAAGAAAAAAATAGAATCTTTCAAACTAATACTTCAGCTAGGAATCATATACTAAAAAGAACCTAGCCTAAATGAGAAATAATTATATATAATTTGTAAGTATTATTGCACAACAACAGTGAAAATTTCAAACAAATGTCAGATAAGCTTAATATATACACTCACTACATGCTACAACTCTAAGATTCATTTCAGCTACAAACAGAACAGCAACAACAAAAAATCAAATGACAATCTGTTTATTGGAAACAGTCAACAGTGGATGATACATTTCCCCTCTAAAACCTGAGTTTATTTAGAGAACTCTTACATTTTGAGGTAGATATGATTCCTGGGACATATACATGTGCTCCTCGAAGTACAGAATAACCACAGTGGGCTCCCACAATGACTTCAGAGTCATGTCTTCTTAGATCTCGCCTACAAATACATGGCTCAGTTTAAACAAACAAACAAACAACCTACTGAAAGAAATGTATCTCCATCCTCCCCGCAGTAAGCCCTCCAATTCATAAACATGGGTTTTGTGGCAATATAAGGGAGAAATTTGTAAATATTATGTATTAAATATAAAAGATTCATTTCAGTTCCAGGGGAAGCAAAGGGCAGAGCCAAAAAGAAACCATTCCTTAAAGTAACAAATTCAGAAACCCTTTGCTGTTCCTTTAAACATGATACTGAAATACAAATAAATTATATTAGGATGCAGATGTATCCCATTTGTGTTTAGCAACTGCAACATCCACCTATAACAACAGGAACTGTGGAATAGTATGTTCAGAAAGACAACCTGCAAAAAATAATTAAATGTGAATGAGAGAAGAAAAGAAGCAGTAAATGCTATTTTACAGTGTAGAGCATTTACATACTGCTTTCTACTCTTGATATAATCGCAGTAGAAACAGATTGTGAACATGTTAGTCTTCAACACGATACTTTAAATAGTATGGCCATCACTTTAAAAAGATGTCCATCAGTGAATTTGATTAAGAAATTAGGAAACCTCAAAGGAACAGATACAAAGGCAGCTTGAGGGATATTCAAGAATACTTTAAGAAGGTAGACTAGTCATTTTCTAAGGGGAAAACTTGACTCAGGAATTCCTCTCCATATTATTGATGCCAGTTTCCCTAAATTTCTGCCCTGGATTTAATTCTAGGGGAAGAAAGCAACACATTAAGCTACCTCGCCCTGTCACTTCATCTCCCCTCAAATAATTCTAGTTCTTCAGTCTGCCACCTTTCAAGCTTCCCAAAAAGGATCTAATAATGTTACATTTTCCTTATTAAACGTTTATCTCATAAATGAGGAAAAAAAATGTGTGTTTTGCTGTACCTTTTAAGGACCAAAAATCTGCCCTGGGTAACACATAGACTGCCCATCAGGTCTTAATAAACAATTATACCATATTTGTAGTGAGTTCCTCACAATTGCTTTAACTAAATCTGTATAAATCACATGCTGCAGCATGCTAAGATTCAAATGTGAAAATTGCAAACCTGGGTCCAATAACAGGAATTAATAATATGTCCTGGATTTCTGGGTGCTCAAGGACTGGAACATTTAGTCCTTCAAACTGCTGTTAAGACAAATAAATAAACAAACAACAGCATTAGCAAATACTAATACAAGTACTTAATGATATTGAAAAATATTTTCCATCCATAATACACAGATGTGTATGGTACAAACACAATAGTGACAACAGTTGGGTCAAGTTGGGAAAAGGGGTGTCAGGAGATAGTCTCTATTATAAATTGGGTGTAAAAAACCATATATTTAATAACATATGAAATACCAAGGCCCCAAAGGAGCTCACCGAGAGAATTCTCTACAGGGAGTGGGACAGAGTCCCGAACATAGCCCTATTACTTGATTTTCCTTTCTCCTGGAAAAAAAGGCCATCATTTTGATGTTAATTACAAACTACTAAGTAACTGTATTAATGTATTGCCTGCTTTACTTAATAAAAAGTTGAAAAAACTTTTTATTTCTTTTTGAAACTTAGCAACTTAGCTAGGCTAGACACTGCGGGCTGTTCTGGATGTATCTGCAGGAAAAAAAAAAGAAAAAAAGACAACTTGCCCTTTTGAAATTGTTTCTGGACTTTCCAAAGCAAGTATCTCCTGAAAACAAGGAATTAGTTTGCATGTGATAAATATTTTCTTTTAAAAAAAAAGGCACAATATAGTGCAATTTGCATAATGCTGTTGAAGTGGATTAAATTGCCTAGGACTTTAGTTTTCTAGTAGTAACAAATTTAAAACATAAAGTTCACAAAACCTGTCTTAATTCAGTTTTTAGCAAAGCATTTTCCCTTAAAGCAAAGTATCATACTGCAATATCCATTTCAAGGTTTCCACAATCGAGTTAAAATTAGCCTAACTTATTACCATCCCAGCCAACAGAACACTGTCAACTTCCTCTGCATCACAGAAATGTCTTGGCTCCTGTCATGCAGTAGTTTCCTGTACACCCACTAGCACTAATAACTTACTTATAGAATACGATCTTTTCAGAGTGAGAATGTAGGATAGAGTTGCAAAATGATCCACCTCTTAAACATTATGGCTTTCATATAACTGGATAAAGAAATGCTTATGTTTAACTAAGATAAGATTTATTATTATTTTTACTTAAGATTAAAAACATGTAATCAAATTACAGCAGTTGCAGGGCACTATTCTGGTTCCAGTTCCTTGAATATACAGACTCTCTCAATCTCTTCTAAAAGTCTGTGTAATAAAATATAAGTCCATTGTCTTTTAATACTTATTAAACATATTTTAAACACACTGAACATTTACACTGACCTACAATTTTTATCTATTTCTATTGTCTTCTCTAGGCTTATGAAGTCTAGACAATACTTAGAACCCTAGTATCCCAATCCTAATCCTAACCCACTATAATACAAAGAAAAATAATACAGGCATATTGATGGCCCCAACTGATATGCTTGAAATTCTCAATTAAGAACTACATGCCAAATGACCTAGTTGACTCAATTATTGCACTTTATATCTTAATTTTAGAGCTTTTTAGAGTTTTTGCAAAGGAGTTGGTTGTCTTTCTCCATCTGTTGTTGCCTTTCTTTTTATATTAGCTACTGACTACTGATAGAGAATGAATTTTCATTTAACATTTAAATGCTGTCAGCAATCAATATGACTGCATCATGTCAATACTAATAGAAACATCGGTATCTAGCAATGAAAGCTGTTACAGTCAGTGAAAATGAAAAAAAAAGAATCTTGTTACTTTTGCTATAACAAAGAAATGGCACAAACCTGCTGGATCTCATCAAACAGCAAACTTTTCACATGTTTCACTGAGGCCAAGCATGTATTTACTCTAACGGTTGTGAAAGCTGGTGGATGAGACAGATGACTTAACAGAGACTGATATCTCCTCTCTGCCTCCTCTGTACCTAAAGCAGCTATTAGCTAAGAAGAGATTTTAAAATAAATATTAACAGCTTCATACAGTACTTTCTTTTTCTAGGTAGAAAAGCATTGAATAAATAATATATACAAATAGGGGAATATGGTTTCATGATGTAAATATTGGGCAATCTCTATTCCTTAGAACCCCTAACTCCAGTGATAACCTCACTAATTTCCTGAAAAGGACTCACTGATAAACTAGTCATATTAGCAAGATCATTCTGAACAGGCTGCAACATGAACCGAAGTTAACCATTTGTGAACTCTGAGGTCCTGTGCAAAGCACAGGCCTAAGGACCTGGTAGAGGAGATTTAGAAATACAAATTTGTAACTCTTTTTCTCATAAATATATATGTGTATATATATATATAAAATGTGTATATAGTATATATATAATCATTATATTTTATATACATAAATATATATGTGTATATATATATAAAATATGTATATAGTATATATATATATCATTATATTTTATATAAAATATATTATATTTAAAAACACATACATATTTATTTAATATTTATTATTTAGTTATATTTTAAATAAAAAAATATTTCTTCCTGTGCTTTTAGGTTAGGAATTCATAGACTGCCCAGCATATTTTTGGTTTGGCAGTATAGCAGTATTTGCTGTTTGTATGATGTGGTTAATATGCGGCTAATTCTTGACTGCTTCTTCTTCAATAGGATCCAAAACTGAAGTCTTAGATTTATGCTAAGTCTAGTTTAAACATTTCCGTAGAACCCTGAGCCAACAGGTTTACAGAATATTTTAAACATGAGTATCTTTTAAAATTACAGGCTTTTACAGTCCACAGATGGACTTTAAATCTAAATAGTCAAATAAATATTATTTTATTGTGAGATATTAATATCATTATATTAACTGATATTAACAACATGCAATTTGTGAATATGTGATCACTGATGGTACAGTGATCTGTAGGGTACAGGACTTTTCACATACCTCTCTATTTCTGAACACTTTGCTGAGATATTCTTCAACTTCAGGCTGAAAGGATATTTTGGGGAAGAAGGTCATCTTCCTTTAGTGTTTAAAATCTGCTGGTAAAGAACTGAAATGAACAACATATTGTCTTAGCAACATTTATTATTATCTCTAATTTTGTAAATGCAACAGAAGATATACCATAAACTAAGCTGTCCTGGCCTTTCTCATTCTTCTGGCTGGAGAACGCAATATTCTTGTACTAAAAATTCCAAACATTGCTCAGGCTATCGCTCAATGTTATCGCTAACTACATTTCAGCATGGATTAATTAACGTGACTAGCATTTGCGGTGTCACATTAACATACCAGGAGGTTACCAGTTGCATTACCGTCACACGCAGTGCTTCAGCTGCACCTTGCAAGGGTACAGGTGGAGGTTAAAATGCAAGGAAGGCTCTAAATCCTGCTACATGAAAGTTCCTCTAGTTGTCCTGGAAAAAAACCTGTAGTTTAATCCTGGAATTCACTCACAATGATTCCACACAAAATTTAATCAATTCTGACTCTTCTGAAGTCCTTTTATTTATTATATTACTGCAATCATTTCTAGAGATTATCTTCTCTTTTTTCCGTCAGATTTGATTTTTCTCAAGGTTAGTTTTCTAGGTTTCCTTCATAGTTTAAACGATCCAAATTCTGTAAGAGTCGACATGTAGGCTAGAATGTTACTTTTTTCCACAAACTTAAAACACAAACTAGCATATGTCTTTTAATAAGTCTATTTTTTAAAAAGATTTAAGGAAGATTTAATAAATAAATAAAAAAAGCTCACTGATCCTTACTGTGAAAGTTTCAAGCTGTCTGGTGAACACTACATGGTTAAAGATCCAGGAAGTTTCCAGATGTTGCTTTGATCATTCTGCAAAGTCCAGCTACAAAGTCCCTATTGCAGCTCTTATTTCCTTACGATTTTTTTCTGTTTATTTTTCTGCGTAGGCAAGAAAATGCAGCTATATTTCCAAAAGTGCATCTGGCAACCCTTAGGTAGCCTGTATTTTGGAAAATTATGCACTCTATCTGAAACACACACTTCAGGCTGGAACGTGAATTCCTAAGAATTTAATAGATTCTTTAAACTAACTTAAATGAAAGACAGAACTTCCCACTGTAAGTGAGGTCTTATTCCATCCATAACAAAAAAATCTAAATACTAAAATACAGTCTCATTTTATTAGGCATACTTAAAGAACTTACACCAGAAAATTGGACAAAATACTCTTCGAATTAAAGGCTGCATGTGACTTTCACCACACAAAAGATCTCTCAAAAATATGGCTTTTCATATTACAAATTCAGTTCAACTTTCATGCTAACTTTCATGTTAGTCTAAACAAGACTTAGCTCGTTTAGACTGACTTTCAAGGTTAGACAATTTTCAGTTTTATGGAGGGGAGGTACTGTATGCTGCAAATTTGGCAACCTTTAAAAAAAACGAGCTGTAATTGAATTAACTTATCTTTAGAATCTAGTAAAATGCCTCATAAAAAAGAAAAAAAAAAAAGGTTTCTAACAAGTCTATCAGTACTGAAATAGCACTACCTAAATGACAACAGTTTGGTTTGAATATTTTTGGGCAATGTGATGTACCATGCCTCTGAGCCACTGTTCTAGGATGCCTACATTAAAGGCAAAAAAAAAAAAAAACCCCAAAACTTAGAGCTCACATTTGGAATCTCTTGCCTCATAAGCATTGCTGTCACAGCAACTACAACGTATATGGATTCAATGCACACATTTTGGCAGCAAGTACGAGAAACCCAGTATCACTGTTCTTGGTTCAGGAAAAGGAACACACCCTTGAAAATCAGCTCCCCTGCTAAAAAGGGGCAGTCAAAAGAATCAAACCATTGTATGCAGCCCGGAAGCTAGATCGAGCACACGTAAGGGGAGGCTCAGAGCACACCCACACACCTGCAACTTGAGCAGCGTACACACACTGCTTCTACCTCAAAAAACACGTAGCTGAGAAACTATGGGCAAAGGTGACGGCACCAACATAAGCAACGGCTTCCAAACAAGGAAAGGCGGGACAGGCGGCCGAAAAGGGTCGCGACTAACGTCTTAACGTTCAAGGTGGCGGCGCGGAAGGCTGACAAGGGAGGCGGCTGCGGGCGCCCTCCCTGCAGGTAACGCGGGAGCGCAGCCTTCAGCGGGGAGCTCCGGGCTCGGCCCCACTGCCCCGGCCCCCTCCCTTCCGCTCGGGGCCTCCTCTCCCTCCGCTACCGAAAGCTGCGGGATATGGGGGAGTCGCGCGGCCACAGCGCCGCCCAGCAGCTCCCACCGGAGCTCCGCGGAG